ACGCTGTGCTCCTCTGCCAGCAGAACTAAATTCTCCTGTGCTTGTTTCTGATGAAAATGTGAAATTTAATGGAAATAAGAAATTATTTTTGTTTGTTTCTGATGGAAACGGGAAATTTAATGGGAGTACAGGATTCTTTGTGTTTGTTTTTAATGGAAATGTGAAATTTAACAGGAATTAAGGAATTCTTTGTGTTTGTTTTTGATGGAAATGTAAAATTTAACAGGAATTAAGGAATTGATTCTGTTTGTTTTTAATGAAAATGTGGAATTTAACGGAATTCGGGGATTCCTTTCAGTCGCTGCAGCAGAGCCTGGAGCCTCGGGCACAGCCCATCTTCAGCTCCACGCACACCCACAGCCTCTACGTCAACTTCAAGAACTTCGTCTGCAACATCGGCGAGGACGCCGAGCTGCTGATGAGCCTCTACGACCCCGACCTCTCCCAGTTCATCAGGTGGGGCTGCTTTGGGCAGAATCATGAAAAATCACAGAATCAAAAAGAGTCACAAAAACACAGAATCACTAAGAATCACAAAATCACAGAATCATAAAATCACAGAATCACAAAATGACAAAATCACGAAGACTCACAACATCACAGAAACATGGAATCACAGAATCACAAAATCACAAAATCATGGAATCACAAAATCAGAAAGAATCACAGAATCACAAAATCACAGAATCGCAGAATCATGGAATCACAACCACAAAATCATGGAGTCACAGAGTCACAGAATCACAAAGAGTCACAAAATCACAAAATCAGAAAGAATCACAAAATCACTGAGTCACAGGGAATCACAGAATCACACAATCACAAAGAATCACAAAATCACAGGATCATGGAAATCACAGAATCACAAAATCACAAAACCACAAAATCACAGAATCACAAAATCACGGGGTCACAGGGAATCATAAAATCACAGAATCACAAAGAATCACAAAATCACAGAATCACAAAGAATCACAAAGTCACAAAATCACAAGGAATCACAAAGTATCACAAAATCACAGAATCCCAAATCCTCATTTTGGAGAAATTTATTCCAAATTACTTTGTAAATTAATAACTTTGTAATCAATTAATTAATTAATTAATTTGTAATTATCTACTTTATAATTCATTTCAGAAAGAGAGCCAAGCTCATGGTCTGCCCCCTTCTTAAAGCCGGGTTTTTCTTCTACCCCAATTCGTCTTTTTATAATTTTAATTCAGCTTTACAATTTATAATTTTAATTTTCCCTTGCCATGCTCACGAGCCTCGAGGAAGCCTTTGGTGGATTTTTTTTTCCCAGTTTTCTGGCTGCCCCCACATCCGAGAAGTCAGGGGAGATAATGGGGAACTTTATCAGGGAGTCGGGAACGCTCCGTGCCCGTCCCTGCCGTTATCAGGAGCTGGAATTGTCCCAGGAATTGTCCCAGGGTGAATGAATCACTTCAGAGSCTTTCCAGGATAAAGGATTTGTCAAATGTTCCCGAAAGATCAAAATGTTTTTGCTGGGAAATGAGATTTCAGGTGGTGGTTTGTTGAAATTGATTTATTTTTCCTTTTTTTGCAGTGAAAATTACCTGGTGCGCTGGGGCAGCAACGGGATGCCGAAAGAAATTGAGAAGCTCAACAACCTCCAAGCAGTGTTCACGGTAAAATTTGGGGAATTCTGGGATTGGGCTGGGAGGGACC